CCGTATGAACAGCTTCATACAATCCCATACGTTCTATTTTGACACATAGTCACCGCCTAGCGTTTTCGCGTCCGTGCGAACGCTCGCTAAGAGATATATTTTAACCTCCTAGTACTACACAAAAACTGTCAGATTAAAAATAGCCCTAATAAAAAGGAATAAGATTCATATTGCCATGGTAATCAGATCAACAAAAGCATCTATAGTGTACTTACTGTGACCACCATGCAGTGGCTCTCCCGAATTGCACCACAACAGCCGAAGAATGCGATGATGAACATCACCGCGCCGATAACAATGAAGAGCCAAGGAGCGACAGTCAGATGGCTCTGCAGCTCATCTTTCATCACCGTCCAGTTCATCAACACCGCGACACCGATGCCGATGATGGCCAGCCCGAACAGCTGTCAAATAAATAATTAATTTTAATACAGAGAAAAACATAAATATAGTAAATATGTGAAATAACTAAAAAAATAATACATCAAGTGACAATTAGGTCAAACGTCGGTTATCGCTTTTATTTCATCCGAAAATAAATAAATGTACAAATATTGGTTTGTGCTCTTTTTAATATAGACTTTAATATCACAGTTTTTTGTTACATTACATGAAACGGTAAAAAGCGTTTTTTTTTATTTTTATAATTAGCATCATTTAGTTTAGCCCGCATTAATTTGAAACAACAAATTTTATTTGCGAAAATAATACCCACACTCATCTATAGATATGAAAACAAAAGATTTCGAGAACAAACGTGTTCAATAATACTGGATTAAAAAAACTTAATTATTAGACTATATATTTCTCTAGACTATATCCTACATCTATGATAAATATCAACTAGAAACTTTAAATCAACGAGAAACTAAATAAAACATCCATCTATCCACATGGATGTTAGTTAGTGTTTGTAGTCTAAATGGCTAGGCCGATTTCGATGAAATTTTGTATAGATGTAAAAGATAGTTTGGAAGAACACATAGGTTACTCGCTTTTGTTTTTTTTTTAAACCCACTCGGACGTAGTCGCGTGCGAAAGTATAATTGGGACTAAAGATGTAACAAAGTCCTATTTCCGAATGGAACTAAAAACGGGTCAATTTTTTATTATAAAAATCTCTGTCCTACTTCAGTTATTCTGACAAAAGCTTTTATTTAGATGTGCCGTTGTTATAACAATAGTTTTCATCTCCATAGGATAAATTGAGTTCTTCTCTTTGTATCTAGGACATGCAATACAAAGAGGTTATGGCAACGGTAATTATGAACAATTGCTAGAAACCTTTTTACAATTTCTCAAATATCTTCCAGTACATCAATATATATACTGATATTACAAAGAGGAAAGATTTGGATTTTTGTATGTATTGAAATAACCCAAAAACTACTAGACCGATTTCAAAAATTCTTGCACCATTAAGAAGTTACGTTATCGCTTAATAACATACTTTTTTGACTATTTTTGTGATTACACGTCGACGAAGTTGCGAGAAACAACTAATTAATACTAAAATTAAAATATACACCTATACTTGATAGATGTACGTCAAAGGTTAAGCATTTCGTAGTAAATGACTAAGATGTAAACCGTGTAATGACTTGATCGTTTAATTTCATTACTAATTAAGATAATAACAAATGATTCATTGCATTCATCAGTACCGAAAACATGCGTATTTTAAAACGCTATGAGTCATGTTCACTTCGTAATCTGTACTTATATTATAAAGAGGAAGGATTTGTATTTTTGTATGTATTGAAATAACTCTAAAACTACTGGACAGGTTATTAAATAGCTACGTTATCAGTAAGGCAACATAAGCACACGTTTTTTAATTCACGCGGGCGTGGTCCCAAGCAACAGCTAGTGATATAAAAAAAACGTCACTGAAGGGCAAATTACAACAGAACGATTAGAAATCATCGCCTTCCTAAATTACATCTGTTATGAAACTGCACAAAAAGCTAAGGTTTAATTTGTTCTATCAATATCGTTTCTTAGTCATCGCTTTTCCGTATCTAAACACTGACACGGAACATTACATGAATACGAAACTAAATTACGAATGACAATTAAGCTAGAAATTATTTAAAAAAAAAAACAACTATAACTATAATAGAACACTATTCATTCATATCTTAACTTTAATGTCAACATTCAAGTTCAGTTCATTCTAAGACCATAAACTAAAACTAAAACTGATAGCTATCATAATCATGTCTTATTCATTAACATGTAATTAGAGAAAATTGGTCTGAAATACAACATAAAATCAATCTTCCTAACTGTCGTCTAATACGCCGTTCCCACGCACCGAATGTGGTTTAGTTATGCTGGTACCGTTACACGTAACATCCGAGTGAAGTACACATTCCAAAAATGCGTGACGATTAAATCATGCTACAGTTATAAAATCAATTTATACTAACAAATAAAATTAACATTTGTCATCCAAAGCCTAAACAAAAGTACAGTAGGGGAATCTAGCGGTGTTTCAGTTTCATCATCTCCCTACGTTATCCTACCTCCCGTAGTGTTGGTACTGCGGGATTTTTTCCTCCAAATAACTATCATCCGGTAACTCAGTCATCACTCCCTTCTTGATCATGTCACTTTTCAATCCAAACATCTCTTTCTTCACCTTTCGCCGTGCTACAGTTTATGAGATACGAAGAAACCATGACGCGAAACAACAAACAATAAGACGCTTTTAAATGTGGTACGCTGCTTATTGCTCTTCATTATTCCGTTTTTTATTTTTTAGTAAGAAGAGGCGGAGTTTGTATCGTTGCGAGTAACAATGCAATTTTCTGTAAGTGGAACACTGCGAATTTCTGCGACAGTACTCCAAATTCTGTACTTATACACCCTTTTAATCTTGGAATGTAGTTGTTTTAGTGAAAAATATTCAGTTTATTGCCGGATGTCGGATTTCAGTTGCAACGAATTTAAATAAGTTGTTTCGATGCATCACTGAAAATGAAAATGGTCAATTTTTACGACATACTCAATCATGTTCGGGTTATGTTGGAATATTGTCCTAATAAGTTTTATATCAGACCGGATGTTTAGGACTTGTACTATGGTATAATGAGGTACCGTCCGTGGTAATTATTTTAATAATTCCTATTGTTTTAATTTATACATTAATTACCGAATAAAATGATTTCCTCAACCATTTAGGTATAAAATAACTCCACGATAATAGTATGTATTTCATAATAGTATGTAACATAGATCGGGAGCGATAATTATTTTTAGTTTATTAATTATTTTAACATAAATAAATTAGATAAAAAAAACCACGAATTGACAATAAAAATAGGCCATAAAACCACACAGGTATCGGTAAGTTATGTTATATGATTATATGTATTTATATAACATACATAGGACAACTAATAGGTAACCTAGAAGCAGCTACTGGCCTGTTTGACGATCAGCCGTAAACCTAGAATGTTTATTGTGAGCTATTTCCGAATTATTGTCATGAGAATAGTCACTACGGGAGAATCGGAATAAAGCACGATTACGTTATATTAAATTCTGTATCTCAACCCATGTTTCATTGCCGAAACACCTGTTAATAAATTGCCATTACACTGTCATCAATTTAAAATAAGGATATATAGCATTGCTTAGATCTTAGATTTGCATTATAGCAATAGTTGGATACTTTCTTCTTGTAGCATCGCAACAGTTTCAAATATAATTTTATTATTCGTTTATGAATCGTGAACGTATTGTATGGCAAGCGGAATTGTATAACAAACCAGATGGTACCATATCGAGGTCATCGGTCGCGTCGATGTGTATTTTTGTAATCAAATACGAGTCTCACTTTCACACTAACCAAACATGCGCTTTACAAATATCTTATATGCACGCTTTTGAAATTATTATTGCCTCAGTTCAGTTAACAATTGAATTACTATTTTTTACTTATAACATCCTTTTTAATAATCTTTGTAGAATAAATTGTAGACTAGACAGACTATTCAAGTCTAGAGTATTTGAAGATTACAATGGAACCTATCTTTTGTCAAAGATTTTGATGTTTCAGTTATGCATAGCATATGTACATAACCCTTGCCTGTCCAACTGACATAAAGTGAAGGATTATTTATTGTAAGTGCAACACATCATCAACTTGCCCTTATCCCTTATGGAGGGTCGGCACAGTTTGTGCTGTTCTTCCACACAACAAAAAAGTGTAAGTGCAACACATTTTATATTTAATTATTTATATAAAATGATCAACGGACGAACGCCCACGGAGAAGATAACCACTGGAAGGATATAAGGGTTAATATAACAATATTCCGGTCGATTCGATGACAATCTCCGTTACATTCATGAGACAAATTGATATATAGTTACTCAGATGAGCAATATTTTATATTACTCAAACTTTTATTGACTACGCTAAATATAAAGTAATCTTACTTATATTATAAATGCAAAAGTTTAGATGGAGTTTGTTAGTTTGTAGAATAAACTTTTAAACGGATCTCGATGGCATAGATGTAGAGTCTGGAAGAACACATTGGCTCTACTTACTTTTTTTTAATTCCAATTCGCGGGCAAAAGCTACAGTTTCATACAAGTATATTTGAATTGCTCATAATTCTTAACACATCGTAACATAGTCGACCCACTTTCTAAAAATGGATCGTATATTTTTACGTGTAGACTAATACTATCAAGGTCGAAAGTACACAAACGTACTTGTGATAACCTACATCCTGCTACCGAGATCTACTGGAGTAAACACTATTAAGTAGATGATGAAAAACGATGCCATGGCTAATACTTGGGAACAACAAAAACAATAAGTTAAATCGATGTCATTTTCATTCAATACGATTAAATATGAAAAAATATCTCATTTTACTAACCGCTAATTTGCGTCAAATAAACCATTGTTAGCGTCCAATTTATCCGTTTTAAGATTTTCTCCGATTTCTCTTTCAAGTTGCGAAAGGTTTTCATAAAAGAATATTATTTTTCATAAAAAGTTTTCATACAAATATTGTACTTTATGAGTATATTGAAAATGTTAAAATAGTGGATAGCCGGTTGTATGGTTCGTTGATCAACTACCAAAGCGGATATTTGTCTATCGCCAGAATTGAATTTTAAAATGAAATGTACCACAAAATTAAAAAGATAAGAACATATAACATCAGGATAGCACTATAAATATACAGTATACGTGAAGTAGTACATTACAACGAGAGTTTAGTTTGTTACCGACGTAACCCACGATAACCTTAACTGAAAACGGCTATAAATCTATCTATCTATACTAATATTATAAAGAGGAATAATTTGTATTTTCTTATGTGTTGAAATAACTCAAAAACTACTGGGCCGATTTAAAAAATTCTTTCACCGTTAG